TATAATGGGAAAGAAACTAAACTACTAACTTATGCAATAATAGTTTCACCCCTTTGCTTCATTCACGTTGTACGTCAGATAAAAGTAACCTATGCTTATCCAACATATATATATATATGTACATAATAAGTTAGTCATTGTTTAATACTTTCTTAGATTTACGCGAATATTTGACATTCAAATAAAACTATATTTTCGGGTAATTTAGCGGATTTATTTTAATTTTTGGTTCCCGACGTTTCGAATGCAATCATGCAATCATGGTCACGGGAGAGACTAGGTTTTAGACGTCTCAAAGGCGTCGTATACTTGTTACAGACAGTGCCTACCCACAATTTTACAAGAAATGATTTCAAAAATTCGTCGGGATACATCAGCTTATACGAACATAAAGGTGTTTGAAAGATATTGGTATATTTAATTATCCGGCTCGAAGCTCAGTATATATTTGTTGAGCGGGCGCAATGCATATAATTTTAAACGGTCAAGGATGAGTATACGTTAAGTTACGTGAGAAAATATTTGTTTTGGTTCGAACGATTGTTTCGCTCCTTTGTTCTGAGGAATGTCGTGACGGCCTTGGGTATGTAGAGGTGACAAAGCGATTATATCATACAATTATACGATTATCTTTATTCTTTACTACCATACAATAAGGGTAAAAAAAATATTGTTTATTTTGATTTTATATGAGAACTAGCATTGCCGCCCAGATGACCAAAAAGCAAATTCTTAGGATTTACATATTGGTGTAGTCTTACAATGCAGTTTTGTATTTTTTCTCAGAATTGAGATATTTTCCCGCGGTAAAGAGTATCCTATATGTTGACCTGGATGCCCAGCTATATTCATACCAAATTTCATCAAAATCTGTTCAGTGGTTTCTCGTGATGCGGTAACAGACTCACAGACAGACAGAGAGACAGACAAAAATTCTAAAAACTATAGATTCGGACTCTGTATCGATAATAATGTCTATTTCAATAAGATTTTCCAAAAAATATTTAATGTACAGATTCGACTAAATTACAATTTCATTATATGTATAGAATATATTAATATTATTTATGTAGCTTATTCTATATATCAAATGATATAAGTATTATAATATCATTTGAATATGGTACTATTTGCATAGTTTACAAAAAATTAGGTTAATTAGCATCAACTGTTTTAAGTGAAAAGTTTTACAGATGTTGATTATATGTGTTAAATAAAAAAATAACAAGTATAAATACAAAGATTAGCTTTTTCTTCATTAGTAAAAAATATATAGCCGTCAAACTTAATGTGCTTAATAAGTAAATTATAAAGTAATATAAAAAATGCGCTTCAAGCATCGACCATAGAAAGTCAGTGGTTTTTGTCTTCAAGAATCGAAGAGTAGAGTCTAAATTTAAGTTTCTTTTTAAAAACAATCTAAACACAAACAAATAATATTATAATTTATAACTTAATTTCTGTTACGTAAAAATACTTTTAACTTTGTCTATACCGAACGTAGCGTTCTCCACTTTCAAGACAGTGCCAGTAGACATCATAACATATTATGTACATATTTTAATAAAAAAGTTTAGAAAACCAGTTGAATAAAATCATTTATTCATTCATTCACTCTCTGACAGACCAGACACGATCTTCGATTAGCCCTTTGATTAAGAATCATTAAACTTTGTATGTAGAGTTAAGAGTTAAATATACAGTGTCGGATTCAATCTGAACACCGGCCCTGTGCACTGTAAAAAATGTCGCCCAATTATCGAAATTTTGCATAAAGTAGATTAAATTCCGCTAAAGTTTAATTTCTTTTAATTGTTATTTTTCAAAAAATTAATAAAAATGATATATAAATGATTTCAATTTTTCGAAAAATGTACTAGTCTTTTTTTTATTAATGTCTTATTTTGGAAAATACAAAAAGAATTTTCGGTAACATTAAGATAAAAAAAATTTTCACCCTCTGAATTTTGCCGTCTCCGGCACTAGCTCCGAGTGCCCCTAGTATAAATCCAGCGGTGTAGGTAGGCAGGCGGTACATATATAATGAAGGTGGTTTTTTTTAAATGTATCATCTAAAGTAAATTATTAAGGCAATGACAATTCCATACAGTTCCTTATTTTTAAAGTTCGAAATATGAAAATTTAGACTTTTGTTTATATTGCCAATACCTTTGAATAAATAAAGCAATAATTAAATAAGATAAAAGAAGGCGAAGGAATATTGAAAAGAATATTTGCAAACGAGTAGCAGTGGAGGGGACTGCAGTATAAATATAAGTTATCTTTATGGGTCAGTTGTTATCGCACCAATCTCTAGCAAGCCTACCTTTTTAAAATCAATACTAACAACATAATATTATGGTACAATATCATTGTATTGAAATTGAATATTAGGATAAAAATGTTTAATTGAATAAGTACTGAAAATTTCTAGATTTATGTAACTTCTAAAAAAGATATTTCATGGAGTTGTTAAGTATATCGACATTCGACACGTCATAGGTACATATGTATGTAGGTGAGACCCAGTAAGATGTGACAACTTATAAATAAAATAGTACTTGACCCTTATGCTATCAAATCTACATGAGTATAGAAAATGACTTAAATTGTCAAATTGCCACACTTACGGTGTACTCGTTAGTCGTTATACATCTTAATAATGGTTGCGTCGCCGCAGGAATCCGGTAACTGCATTAGCAACCGCCCACAGAGGCGCGTGCCTTTTGTGCTTAGGTCTATGACTCCATGAACTTGTTTACATATTTATGTGAGTTCTACTTAAGTGGGAGTAAATAGTAGGTATTACATTTGTCTGACAGGCGTGTTTAAAACACCGGAGGTCGTGAGTTCAAATCTTGGAAAGGAAAGTATTTGTACTTATATTGTATAAGAACATATTATGTTTATATAGATATTTGTTAAATTTTGGACTTGGTTAAGACAAATGGAAAGGGTAACGAGTAACATAGATATCACTAAGCAAAAAACGCTGCTTGAAAAACATGATAGTCAAAAACTTAAAAAAACCGAGTTCAAAAAAAATATATACAAAAAAGTAAAAATTAACTGATTGGTAGTTTTCATTTACTATAGATACCTATTCAGATATGTATTTTCCAAGTCGGTGCCAGCCGATACAAATGAAAGCACACCGACTTCGAAAATATCTGATAGGTAGGTATCTATAGTAAATGAAAACTACTAATCAGTATAATTTTTTTTAATTTTCAGTGTTTTTTTTTTGAAGTCGGTTTTTATTTCGTTTTAATAAGTTTTTATTTTTCTATTTTTAGTGAAGACATAGTAGTAGCAAAGTAAGAAGAAAGTATTTTAATAATTCAGTATGTAAAAGATCAATCACCCCTATTTTCTAACCTTACAATGATTTTTTTCCAAATGACATTTTCATTGACCATAATGTCGGAATAAACCTCTTTTGAACAAAAAATATTTTTGCAAATCTGTCTACGTACGACGGAGTTATTTATGCCCGAACATACATAAAAAAATGTAAACATCCGAAATGAGAAGCTTTTTTAAAGTTGGTTAAAAAAGAAATACATATTTACAGCCGTCACACAATCCCACATAGTCCGTGGATAGCGAGAAAGGACAAAAAGAAGAGGTAGCTATTTCATATCCGCAGTTTCTCATCACTTTAATCTCATTTATAAGTACAGAAAATAATTAATAGAAATTAATTATTATTTATGTAAATGAGACGTCTATCATAAGAACGCAAGCGATTATAAACTCTTACGTAATACAAAAAAATCATATACTATTTGTTTAGCTATAATATGTTAAAATTAAATATCTCTTGAATATTTATGATTTATGTAACTACAGACGCTTTCAATTGAATGATCTTTTGAATTTTGAATGTTGATGATATTATTTTATATGTTGCTATAATAGGTATATCTTTACATAGTATAAAATGAAGTCGCTTCCGCTGTCTAATCGCTTAGATCTTTTAAACTACTCAACGGATTTTAATGCAGTTTTCAGCTATAGATAGAGAGATTCAAGAGGAAGGTTTATATGTATAATACGTGGATATTATACTACAGAAAAGCCGAGAAATTCGAATATTTATATTTCATACTACCCGTTAAAACGTACCTAGTATAGCTAGTATCCTATAATTTTAAATAAGAAATTCTTGTATATAAATCTATTTCTTAATTCTTGTATCTCGGAAACGGTTCTAACGATTTGAATCAAATGTTATATTTATATAAGGAGTCTTTATAAGGAGTCTTTTTAAAAAAAATGAAATTTATTACTAATAAAAACTAATTAATATCATACCTTTTTCTATATGCTCTTATGCTATGCTATGTCATAATTATAAAGCGAATGGCAAAGCGTGCACGAAAAACAATTTTTAGGTGTCTGACAGGAAAAGGCTGTTCGTATTCAATTAATAAAATGGCAGAGATATTATAATTTAAACAAAATTACATAATACATGTATAATATTGATAATACAAAAATAAACACGTTTGAAATCTAATCCTTGATAAAAATAAAAACTTCAGCACAAAACCAAACGAAACCTAATCCAATAAAGCTAGATAAATATATGTCTAATCCTGTTATTTTCAGAACGTATATTTTTAATAATGTAGCGCCATCTCTTCACTCAACACACAACTTTGATGGTTTACTTTCCAGTTTCAAGCCTTTATCATAGATGGCGCTAGAACCATTATTTTCAAATTTGTTAATGTAACCACAGATCATATAAATACTAAACTAGCTGAAGTATCAGTCTACGACTTATATAAATCGTATTTATATCAATGCTCCACGTATTATAACATTACTAATATAAATAATTTAGAAAGTACTTCCTACAAAAAAAAACTCAAATACTTCCTAAAAAAATAAATATTTTTTTGTCATTATAACAAAAATATAAAACCTTTAACGTAAATAATCATTGAGTTTGTAAACAGAAAAAAAGGGAACAAAAACTTTATGAAGCTTACCTTTATCTTCGGATTTCTTCGGCGTATTTTCCCATTGGTGGCGGACTTTTTGCGACCAGCTGACAGGACTTTTTCTACCTCTACTCCTTTCACGGACGCTGCAGATCATAATATCCATATATAAATTTTCTAAACTAAACACGACATTGTAATAGTCCCGCACATTCCCCTACTTTTTTCATACTGATGATATGATGCTATATCCAAGTTAGATAACGGTGTTTATTTAACTCTTTGGAAACTCATTGCTATAAACGCTTGCAACTAATTTTATAGGTCGCAAGAATAAATACTAGATAGCGTGTCATACACGTTAATCAATGGTTAAGTAATTACATATAAATGCTTAATAAATATTACCTTTATATGATAAATTAATCTTACACCGTTGTAAAAAGGTAATTATTATATAAGAATAATAAGATTAAGGAACCAATACTAAAAATTCTTCCATTTTTAGAAAGCATTTTTTTTATCGACGTACCAAGCGAGCGGAAGTACTTGCAAAGTTTTTTTTGTATGTATCTTTAAAATATATACCGATTTTAAGAATTATTATTTTCTTATGCATTACTTAGGTGCATAATATAAAAAATGTATATACTAAAAATACTCACATAATTATTTTCTTTTGTTCAGCCTTCTCTTCGTCGGACACGTCCACCCAATCGTCGCTTCTATCACTTCGATCGCTCACACTCGTCTCACTGCTTGGGACTTGGAAAGCAATCTCTTGTCCGTTATAACTAAGCACAGATCTTTGACCGTAAATACTGTTTGTTTTTTGTTCACTAGATAGAGTGGACTGACTTATGTTAGAAACATTGTCAAATGATAGCCTCTTCTGTACAGTAGATGCAAGCTGTTTTTTCAAATTATTCCTAAGTTTTACCATACTCGGGCTATTTGGAATACTCTCGTAACAATGGGACAACGATGCACCATCACCATGCTTTATAGTGTCATAAATGTTTTCATTATCATTATAGTCCGAAGATACGAATGAATGCCGACTGCTATAATTCGGACTACTTTCTTTAGATTTCGGCGGTCGGGGCGGAATTTTTTCGTAAATTCTATCTGAACCGATTTTTTCATAGCTAACTGTAGAGGCACCACTGACTGACTTCGTGATAGAATAGTTTTTATTGTTATTTTTGCACAAATAAGGGTTGTAATTTTCGGCGATTTGAATGCCCGAGCTGGATGTATGGCAGTACGGTTTAACAGGTGATTTACAATACTCGTAGCCATCATCACTGTCACCATCTCCTCGTGTTCGCTCTTCAAGCTGACCACATAACTCGTAATTATGAAGACTACTTTCATCGCCTTCGGGATGTGATCTCATTTCTAGAAGGCATTGGTAGATGTTTTCGCCTTCGTTTACATCACTTACTTCTGGTTCTTTAGGTATTTCAGGTAATGGGCAGTTTATTTTAGAACTTCTGTCTGTTTTTACAGGTATGACTACTACGTTTTCATCATCACGTGGTTCTAGTGGTTCGTAATCATCTTCAATAACCGGGTCGCTCTTTGTTTTTGAAGTGTAGCTGATAAGAATTTCTTTATTGCAAGCTTCAATTAAATTACCCTCAAAGTCTGAGTTAGACTCACGATCTTCATGCAGTTTTTCAGTATTTACTTGAGATTCTACAATTTCTTCTTTATGAGATTGCTCTTGAGTACTTTTTATTTCTTCTTCATCACAGCTCAAAGTGTTTTCATTCATTATAACACTTACAAAACCATATGTACTTTCAGATGCCGAATTATCAAGTTCAGAATAAATTTGAGAGCTTTTTCTTCGCCATAAAAATGAATCGTTCGGAATAATTTGTGTATTTACGTCTTGATATATATTATTCTCATCCACGGAGGAAGAAATTAAAGATAAATCTGCTTCAGATTTAGTTGTGCTTAAATGTTCATTGACGTCTTCTTGTATAATTTCAACAAGATGGAGAGGCAGTTTTTCGGAATGTATATAATTAGTCTTAAATTTCTTTTTATCGTAAATTTGTTCTTTCTTTTTTGGTTCTGATGGGTAAGTAGTGACTGCTTGTTTTGCTTGAAAATCGGCAGTAATCGTTTTAACTGTTTTTATTTTAGGAACACCGTCCTTTAAAACTAGATTTTTTGTTAACACTAAAGAAGATTTCTTTTCAGGTACTTTAGGTTTTTCTTTAGCAGGTAGCATATAAGAAGTTGGAGTACTTGATTTTTTAATGGTATTACTTTGAAGGTTTGTTTGTGCACTTATTTCACATTCAAATTTTTTAATAACATTTCTTACATTAGTTTCAACTGGTATTTCAAGAGAGTTCTCTTTAGGAGATTCTGTATTATTTTCTTTTTTTGGGCTGCCATCAACAGTATCGGAGCCACTTTGTTGTTCACTGGAGTCTTGATATTTTAACCGCTTTTTTGGTGACTTGGGAATTTTGTTACCATCAGATTTTGAACGTAATACGCGGATTTTACCACTTGAGCCTTCAGATAAAATAAATTTATCAATTGAATCTACACTAGAACATCTTTTTCTATGGGTTCGTCTTTTAGAGCTTTTTCTATGACGCACAACTATTTTAATATTTGGACTAGAACTAAGAGTCGATGAAGGTGTAGAGCAACTACTTGCAGAGCAACGTGATGAGGTTTGTAAGTTTTCTATTGTTTTTACTATTTTCGATTGAGAAATGGACCCATTGGTATCTTCATGCATTAAGTCATTAAATTTTTTTGTTAGCTCAGACACTTTGCTACTAGTTATCGTCATTGTTGTTTTTGTTACTAGAGGTGGACGTCTGTAAGATGCAGATGCATTTTTAACTTTAAAACTTACTTTCCTTTGTTGTTGTTCTATTTTTTTCTTAATATTTGTAGGTTGTTTATTTTTGTGTGGCGATTTTAGTTCTGTACCTCCACCGGTGCTTCTTGTATCATCACTTTCTGTAACAGATACTATTTGTGCATAGTGTAATGTTGTTTCTTTTTCTGCTTTACTGCGGGGTGAGGTTGAAGTATTTACGGAGGAATTTAAGAAAGCTTGTTTTGCTTCATCAATTGATTTGAATCTTTGATTTGTGGGTGAGAGTGAGGGCTTCATTGGTACTGAGTATATACACTTTTCGTTTAAGCTCGGTTTTTGTTTTATAGCCATGTTATTATAATCGGATAAGATAAAATCTTTCAAAAGAGTTTTAATAGTATCGCGATCTTTTTCGTCTGTATTAAATTTCTTGATCGAAGATATTAAGTGCTTAGGATTCTTCGATTCGCCTTCCATTAGATTGTTTAATAGCATTTGTGTTGGATTTCTCTAACCGGTTTTCTACGCCATCTGTAACAATTAAAATTATAAAATAATTTAGTATATGTACTTAACCAGAAACATCGATATAATTTATTGCAAATTAAAAATACTATATAAAAATGCAATTCTGAACATAAGTCCACCAAAGATGAAGTGATTCGTCACAAACGACCTAAAAGCGAAAGTAGTTTTAGCTTTTGCAAAATTTTAATGACTTGTTCATTATTTCTAACGTTTTTTTAAGTTAGTCTAGTTATATACAAAAATAATATAGAAATTTAATTCTATAAGAATATTTTTTCTATCAGCTTTTTCTTACTTAATATATAATTAAGATTTTCTGCGATTTTAAAGGGCTTTATCTTTTAATAGGTAATAGATAGCTTTTATATTTAACTTCAAATGTGTGTTTTCGAAGTCCTTAAAAATAAATCAAGTGCGAGTCAGTTTTTATTATTTCACTCTAGATTGTAGTAAAATCATGACAAATAAATAACATATAGCTTGTATGTAAAACAATTTTAACGATAGAACAAAGAATGAACTATGTTTTAGTAAATCTGTAAAACATTAAATAAAATTCAACACTGATTAGGTATAATCTAATTTCGATCACAGGACAACACTAGTTTTCTACACTACTATTTATAAAGAGGAATGATTTGTAATGTGGTACTTTTGTATGTTTCTAACGAGTATACTCAAAAACTACAGCATCGATTTAGATGAAATTTGGTAAGAAGATAGTTTGAGACCCTGGGAAGGACATAGAATATTTTTATTCCGGAAATCATCTCTACAAGGGGTGTAAATGGGGATGAAAGTTTGTATAGGAATCAACCTAGGGACGAACCCGAGCGAAGCGAGGATGAGTCGCTAGTTATAAATAAACATATCCGGCGAACTTAAATTCAAGTAAAAAATGATAATGCAAGCGAAAGTATTAGTTTGAAACAATATACAAATTTCGTACGGTTTTCAAGATAAAATATCATGAACTGCGCATTGTTATAAAGCTCTCACGTTATTGCGGCTGACATGACACTTAGGTCTAGAAACTTAATGTTTAACCAGTTTTTACTTAATCCTATGTAACACACCACAATAGTGATGTATTAACGTGATTTGTTTTATATAATATAATCTAATAACTATATCGACTTTAAAATCACATTAAAAATAATTATAAGAACCTTTAAGATTTTTTTACATGAAATCATCTTCGAGGTACCTATGACCTTTTTGTAAATAAATATAATTAAAAGTGGTACCAAATTCGTGAAAATCGCGTAATATACATAAAAAACGTACACCCGAATTGGTACTTCCTACTTCATTGAAGTCGGTTGAAAAGTTATACCGTGTAAGAAAACCTAATATATCCTTTTTTTTTTTTAACGTTGGGAAATGCATTTACGCACGAAGTGTGGGACTCACCGGCGAAGCCAGTACTACCCACTAAAACCCAACAAAACCTTCCCCCGTCTTAATGGGGCGTCGCAGGATCGCTTACGCATTCAACTACGACGCCCCGACGGCAGGTCTGCCGAAGCAGACCACAACAACCATGGGGTTGCTCCACGGTCCACTCTGCTATCAGAGAAGTACCAGGAGCAACCCGCATGGTACACCACCCTCCGAAGAAGGCCGCCTCCCACCGCCCACCGAAGCGGGCCACCTCCCTGTGCGTTTCTTGGCTTCGCGAGTACACTACTGAGCCCCCCCACCACGACAAGGTGAACGCACGTTGGGGGGGAACCTAATATATCCTAACTTTACCTAGCTTTTGACCTTCTTTCGCCAGTTATTCACAGGACTGGGGCTTTTTCTTTCCGAACTGGTGGTAGATTCATGACGTTCAGTAAAAAACTTGTAATAATTTAATACTGAATAAAATATTTTGAATTTAATTGAATAATGCAACAAGTATTCTGTATTGAACGTCCGATTCCGTTACGGAAAGTTTGGATATAACGTGATAAATGTTGGTATAACCCATACAAACAATTGACACATGAAATCGTACGTGTGACCTCCGGCATAAAGTCAGGTACTTTGAGTACGCCAAATATTATATTATTCAACAAATTATTCGTAACAACACGTTTCTTTAACTTGTTACAGGTTTAAAATAGGTAATATAGACGTTGGATATACTTAAAAAATATATAAAAACCTGTGTTTTATTAATCGCAAGTTGTTGTCTCCCACAACTTGTCCAAATTGGGTACTATAGCCATACGTATACAAATCAAGGTAAGGTCATTGACCTTATAAACATCTAAATATATCTGTTTAGACAACGTTTTTTATATTTTGAAGACATTTTATATTTTGAGATTTTGAGCAATAAAGTCTTGGTAGAGATTAAAGAGACAAATATTAATGTTTTTGCAAAGGCATATCGATAGCGGTCTATATATTTAGGAGCTAGCGGCTCAGTCTCGTTTCGCTCGAGTTCGCCTCTAGGAAAACAAAAACAAACCTATCCCACGGGAACCGCACATTTTTCCGGGATAAACATTATGATAGCCTATGTGTTATTCCAGACTGTAATCTATCTCTGTGCCCAATTTCATCGAGATCCGTTCAGCCGTTCTGGCGTGAAAGAGCAACAAACATCCATACTCACAAACTTTCACATTTATAATATTAACTACCGATGGATGTGTGTATGTTTATTACTCTTTCACCCTGAAGCAGCTGAATGGATGAAATTTATCTCACAGAGAGACTATAGACCTGTTGTAACACATGGCTACTTTAACGCGCTTAGAGTATAGCTCACCCAAGCGAAGCGAAAGTAAGTCGGTAGTTTCATATAAAATTTCGAATTCAAATCCCATTTAGTGTTCTCAAAGATATCCGGAAGAAACATTCGTAAGGTCGTGTAAGTGTTACCTTCCTTTTGTAAACCTTGTATGGAACCGCAGGTCGTTCGCGTATGCTTACTGAATATTTTCACACTTTGATTTTCCTATGCCATAAATCTTTATAGAAATTCTAACACATCTCTGTGCTTTCTCAACATAATGTTTGACTACATAATAAGATTGATAAATAATTAATATTATAACAGCATGTATTTTCACTACTAGTTTTAGGTGTTCGTAGTGTTTTTTTTCATAGATAATATACAATATACTTTATTTTCTTAAGAGTCACATAGGCTAATTTGTACAAGACTGCGGCGAAGCCCAAAGGAGGGCTATGTGTTCAACCTGTATGTATGTCCGATTCTATGTTCCCTCGTAACTACTATTAACATGTCATTCGATTCGTCTTGATATCGCGAGTGTCATAAGATATATGTACTCGTATATACACAATACATATTATTAAAAATCAAAATGGTAGATTCTAGACGCCAATTTGTGTCTAGAAAAAAGATTTTTCTTCCGAATCAATCGAGTAAGTATCAAAATACGGGTTTTGAAGAGGCGATTTCAAAAGTATATACTACATATATGTTTAAAAGTAATTTAGGATAAGAAATTGTTAAACAAAACTAAAAATGTCTAACTGACAAAAAAAATAAGACAGCAAGTACACGAAGGAACATAGTATTAAGCAGTCGAGACATACAATATGTACATGTTTTATAATAGTTGTGTATGTATGTGTCTCCGACTTCGTAGTACTATGTTTCTCCGTACCCTTGTTCTATTCTTTTTAGTTCGCTTTTTACGCAGTTGGTTTTTTTTGTTTCAGTACATTTAGTGGTTCTAGAAGTGCCTGACTAGAATTTGAATACAAATATTATAAAGTAACGAAAAGAGAAAAAAAATTAAAATATTGAATAACAAGAATCTTAATATACCTAATACTTGCAAAATAAATAATTAATTGGTTCCAAAAGGTGAAAACAGAAGCATTAGAAACTTAATAATTTCAAATTCTTAACAACATTGTAAATATTAAGTATGCCGTCACGAATTGCTATCTGTTATTACTTCTGCAAGTGTCCTGTTATTGTACACCATGACACCATGATTTCACGGCGATCTGAATGACAATGGATTGTACTGTATAGAACAAAGTTGAGATGTTGCCAATAAGTGGGTAACGTTTAGGCCGAGCTCAGACATCGTGCCGCTATTATAATTTATGATGTTCTCCTAGCCGATTCCGGCCACGGCGGCCAATCTTAATGAGATTAGCCAACTGCGCAGGAGATATTATAGTGCTCAAGTGTACGCGCAGACACAAGTGCACTCTCTATTCCTGTCACTCTCATTCTCCGGTGGGACGACCACTCGACACGACCGGTGAGAGTTAAGGCGCAGGACCGACGGCTTTACGTGCTCTCCGAGGCACGGGGGTGAAACACCGCCAACTTCCCAACTCCGGGCTGTTACTGAGACTTATTATACAGGAAGACTCAATAACTAAACTTGGCCCGACCCGGGACTCGAACCCAGGACCTCCGGGTGTGCAGCCGTACATGCTAGCCACTACACCACCGAGGCATTATACATAGTAGCCGCTATAATAATTTATATATGGCATAGGATAGTTAAAAAACTATAGTAATTTATACAGCTTAGTACACCAAAACTACTAATTTGATTTTAATGAAACTTTACAATAATATAGTTCATACATCACAATAATAAATACGTTACTTTTTATCCCGGAAAAATGTATGGTTCCCGTGGGATAGATCTGTTTATGCTTTTCTAGAGGCGAACCCGAGGGAAGCGACGGTGAGCCGCTAGTTTGAAATAAAACTTTACGGATATTTATACGGATTTATTTTGGTTTTGTCGTCGGGAATGAGAATAATAAATGCACAAAAAAATTCGGAAAGATACATTTTTCAAAAGCGCTTGTAAAAGTGTATTTGAATAAAGTATAATATTTTGATTTAATATTTTTCACAAAAAAATATTAGAAGTTAGGTTTAAAAAACTTATCAATATGATCCTCGTTACACCTATTTATTTACCATCTTTTAACACTACTACTGATGG